TGACGCTTCTAGCATCTGAGCTAGCACACCATCATTCATCTTCTTCGTTGTCATCATGCCAGGTTCTCAGGGGCAGACATCAGTATCGTCGTGAGGGATGCATTGATGGAGCCTGTTAGAAAAGTACAGAGTGCCACACATTTCAAAAAGGTTTGTTCCATTTGAGGTTGGACTGTTTTCTTCAATTGATGGATTGATTGATTGATTGATTGGTTGGTTGGTTGGTTGGTTGATTGATTGGTTGTTTGGTTGGTTAGTTGATTAATTGTTTGGTTGGTTGATTGATTGATTGATTGATTGATTGATTGACAATAAGAAATTAATAAGTCAATTGTAGTAACCAGTCAATCAATATTAATTTTACAGTTAACATGGTTGTTTTGAATAGTTCAAGTTCTTCAATTTTAAAGTGATACCAACCTGATAGCTCTGAGAAATGCAGTAAAAAACCTATTCTAGTATCAGGGTACTATTTCCCATTATGCTACATTTAACTGAAAACTTTTCAGGTTAGAGGTGAGAGCCCAATAAATAAAGGTGTCATAGTTGATGACCTATTGACCCCATGTTCTCCCGGTGACCCCGGCGCTATTGAGATGAGTTGGATGGATGTTCCTGGAGAGAAATTGTTGGAGCCCATTCTTAATATGGTCCGCTGTTGTTTGACTGCTGCTGATGTTTTTGGTTGTGGTAGTATGTTATGTGTTCGTTGTTAGCCTGTCGTTGTATGTTTGTATGTTGTTTTGGGTGTTGTATTTGTTTGTCTGTCGTGGTATGTTTGTATGTTGTGGTTTTTGTATGTTCATTTGCTGTTGTATGTATGTATGTATGTATGTATGTATGTATGTTGTTGTTGTTGTTGTATGTTCATTTGCTGTTGTTTGTTTGTTTTTATATTTCCAACTTCAACATATGAAACGTTCTCCACACAGTCTGACATGATGAGATCATTGCAGAATTCCAAGCCAACAGTCAATGATGACGACCTAAAGAAGTTGAGGAAATTCACTGAGGAATTCGGACAAGATGGATGAATTATTATAAATATAATAATTATTATTATATAGATATTTATTTTTGCAAGTAATATTACGACAATAATTCATAATTTTTTTTTACAAATTTGATTAATGTGTGTGTGAGTGTGTGTGTATGTGTTTAGATGTGTCTGATGATCTGGAATTTGTATATTATTATTATTATTTTTATATTATTATTTAAATATTTTTTAATAATTTTATCCTATTTGTTGAAATTTTGACTTTGGAATATCATTGTAACTCAAAACAGTTTAAAAAAAACATTCTGCCCATAAAAAGTTCGAAAATTTCTATAAAAACTACACAAATTTTCTGTTTGTATCGTTAAATTACATTATTTATGTTAAATTGTTGCTATAATTACATCAAATAGATTATTACAATAATTCGTATTATTATTATTTGTTGCCATTTGAAAAAATGTAAATTGAAAAATAATGTTTTTTTCATAAAAATATAAATTTTTGTGTATAAATATTAATGCGTATAAAGGTCTGGATAGTCACGATAAATACCAAAAATACATCATAAGAACAGCTTATAATAATTAATTTGAAGAAAAAACGAACTGTGATAGCATCTGTCTTGGGATAACATTAAATACCATTCTGTTTTAATCAAAAATAAAATAAATTTTACTAAATTGTCTGGATCAGATGATTTGTAAATTTTTGCCAAAAACACGTTATGTAAGACTTATAATTTAAATCGATTATATAGAAGTTTATTCTTGTAAATTCTTCCGATGGCTATATTTATAAAGGAGGACTGACGTTGTTATCATTGAAATTTTTAAATCAATTGGATCACTGTTTGTTATGTTTATTTAATTACGAATCTGTTTTATAACGAAGAAAACCTTTTCAAAATTTTACGAATTGCCGCATGGATTTTAAATGCGATCTTATTTTCAATGTTATAATACTCATCATCAATGCTCATCTGACACGATCCGTGCTAGCGAGAGGTTTGTAACTTTTTCTTTCAAATCTTAACAGACACGATGGTTTATAATTTGGCAGAAAAATTATTTCGGCCTTAGGGCAGGTAAAATACAATTGAGTTTTGTTTCTTCTACTGTGTATTTTGTACTGGTGACCACAACGAAATTAGGAATTTAATCTTTTTGGCCAACAAGTCAAATCATTACTGTTTTAGCTTCACAAATGACAGGAACTGAAATGGATTGAATTGAATCGTGAAAGGCATAGGTAATCTCGGTGTTATTCATATCTTGTGTTCCAGAGTCAAACATTTTCCCTACATAAAACAAAACGGCTAATCTCAAAAGTTAAAAATAAATTTAGAAAACCCCGAAACCGTCATTCTTAGCATTTCATATCTTTTCATCGAAACCTCTACACACAAGTCTAAAGAATGAAAACATTACACGAGAAATTTTATAAATTTGAATCGAAAAATTAAGTAAATTGAATTTTCCTCCACACGACAGACTGCAGCAGTGACAATGGTGGGTGTCTACCTGACGAACTGTGCGTTAAGAAATTATTTCGTGGCGAGTTTATAGTCAAGTGCCTCGGCCCCTCAAGCGAAATGGTCTTAAACGTCCAAACTGCGCACAGTATCTACTTTATTTCTGACTTGTTTTACATTGTAAACGGCTTTAATAATAATTATAAGTTGAGTTTGTTCCTGTTTTACAATACGTTCATCGGAACCGATCATTATTTAGCTAACAGTTACTAATACACCAAGTTCTTTGAAATTGTCAACATTAACAATTTATTTAAGGTAATTGTTGTTACGGATATGTATTTATTACAATTTTTCTATCTAATCTTATTTATATAAACATGTTAATCTGATTTATGCATTATATATAATGTTAAGAAGGAGAGCGTTGTTTCACTAACTTATTCGTAAAGGCCATTCAACTATATTTATAAATTGTTGGTAAATAAGCAGGAAATATACGCAAATTTCCTATTGGTATAAATAAATTGATGAATTGTTGAACAGCGAACGGCAAACATCTTCTTGGATGTTTCTTGACTGGCGTCACGGACACTTATGACTTCAACGATAAAGTGTTGATCTACGTTGACTCAATAGGCGAGTGTAGCTACCAGTGTACAACTCCGTATTACGGAATCAAGTTTATAAATGTATTTTGTATCTCTCTTTTTTAAATTTTTATTAAAAATTACAAAACCTTTTTTTAATAATATGCATTCATGGCCGGATTTAAAAGTTTTGAGGCCCTAGAGCAACGAAGGAATGGAGGCCTTTAAGTTCCTAATTTATTCTTTACTGGAGATCTCTATTAACTTGTGGAGATTATTGATTATTTAGTGGCTGCTTTTTGGGTGGTTGCTTTTTTAAAAAAGTTGGAGTCAGATTAAAACTTTTCAAATATCCATAAATTTTCCTCAAAAAGAACAAACATCAGTGCGAGTGTTTCCTCAACATCAAGTACAGAACATCGATGGCGCGCTGCAATCAGACATGCAAAGATGGTAATTCGTGTGGTGGATTCGGTCACTTCTCCGTATACTCCAGTATTTTTTTGTTGTAATGTCCACTAAATTAATCCATTCATCATCAAAAGTCATAACCATGATAAAAATTGGACATGGTCATTTTTTTCAAACCACTCCAGTATTTTTTCTGATTAATCAAGCATTTTTGTTTTATAAAAGCTTTACGACGTACATACACACTACTATTATTATCTATTAACAATAATTTTTTATTCAACAAAATTTTTTTCTTCACAAGAACCAGTGTCCAACTTAACCTTGGTAGGCTGTTTCACATCAGTTACACACCATTATAAAGCTGAAGATAAAACTGTAAATGTAGATACTTGTGCAGCGGCGTGTCGTGAAAAATCATTTAGTTTTCTTGGCTACAAGGTGTGTCGCTGTTAAAACAATTGCAAATACTTTTTTTGTTTAGAAATTTGAAAAGAAATAGTTACGAAAAGTGGAGTAATCAAAAATTTTTGATAGATTTTTGATAGATATATCCCGATGAATAGATAGTAGTGCCAATGAAGTGAGTCCCTCCTCATTAGAGCTATTTCTCAAATAATTTTTAATTTTTTTCAGTGTTGAAAAACTTCTTTCAACTGTTGACGTTGATACTGGTAGAATTGCCATAATTAATAACAGTGCCTAAATATTTGGAAATAGACAGGAATTGCATTCTGCCAATGCCTCAATGGCTGTTTTTGGCCTATCTTTTATTCTTGTTTTTCATTTTTGTGTCCACAATGACCATTCACCTTTTAATATGTTTTCAAAAGGTTCTGGGAAGTCATCTTTAGAAAATTCGGGACATTCTTCAATATAATTATATTGTACATCACACCTTCAAGGTAAAATAAATTGTTAAGAAGTAATTAGTGTCGTATTGAAGGAATCTATCTTTCAGTGAAGCCACTGAATCATCCAAGAAAGAATTGAAAATGGATATTCGAAAATAATTTTCCGGATCTTGTGAAGTCACATTACATCGATTTTTATTAAATTTTGTGGTTCTTGGAATAACCATTTCTATATTTAATTCTCAATAAATTCTCCATTTTCTCTGCAGTTAAGAAAAAATTGAGTTACATCCTTCACTACCTGCATTGCAGTTACGATATCCAGATACACAGTCTGCAATAACTTTGACAAATTGTAGGTAAGTCATATCCCTGTCTTCTTAAATGTTCAATTTAAAGACCAAATTCACTAAGCTTATCAACAATTACCGTTGCAAGGCCTTGGCCAAAAACATCATAAACTGGAACAAATGATAATAAATTTCTTAAAATTGGTATACCATTGTCATCATTACTCACATTACTTATGCACAGGGAAAATTGTTCAATTTGTGAAATATTAGTTGTTCCATCGGCTAAAACTGGAAAAAATTGTTTTTGCTGAATTCTTTCGATAATTTTTTCTGTATGAGATAACCAAATGAATTTATTCTGTATTTCAGGACTGGTATATAAAGCGTTTTTTGCAGATTGTTGTAAATGATTTTGTAAAACTACATCTCCTCCATTGGCTCTAAATCTTAACAAGATTCGAAAGTTACCATCATTTTCCTTTAGAGTTATTAAATTTATCCGTCCTACTTCATTATTGCCTCTTAATGCAAGGCCTTGCTGACCACAAAAACGTATAAATTCTATTATAGCTTTAAGTATCTCTCTATTATATATTATTTTTTTCTTTTTTTGAGTATCTATTTGTTCATCAATACTATTCATTCTATTACAAGCATTGGCTTCAATATTACTTTGTTAAAACAACATTTTGATGATACACTGTTGATCCATGTTGTTTAAATTAAAAGACTCCAAAGCCTTTTTAAATATGTTTATGGTTCATTAATACAAGTTCCAATTGTTTCATGTTTACCTTTACCAACCATTTTGTCTGTATAAAATATTATACACGTTGAACAATAAACGCCTTTACCTTTTTCTGAATAAGCAAGCCATTTAAACTTTTGTAACCAATCATACTGAAAGCGTCTTGTAAATTTTCCTGTATCATCGTAGTAAATAAATTTTATAACTATTTGCTAATTTCAATTTTTTCATGGTTGTTTAATTTTACTCCGACGTAATCAGCTGTCTTTTTTTGTTTTTGAACATGGTGCATCAAAATTATCTTTTGGGATAGATAACGACGAAACATTTTTCTCATTGCCCTTCAGCTCCAATTCATTGTTAATGTTTACAAGACTCTCAGACTTGGATAAACCAACTTACAACTCTGTGCCAACTAAGTTTTCGATTCATCACAACATAACGATTTTGGTATTTATGTTAAAAAATTCAATAAATTGTTTTCCTGCTTATTTTTCTTTTCATGGCAAAACTTTACTTTAGAACCTCAACGCAATCGAAATTTAAAATTTAAAAGTGAAATTGAGAGGACGATTAATGCATAAATATGTTTAAAAGTGAATTGCTTTAAGACTGTTGTTTATTAAAACGTTGATATTGAGGTTTTAACATAAAATACCGAAAATTTTTTTAAAAAATTAATAAATCATAACATCTTTTTTAACTTTCATCAATTATTAAATAATTTTGTAGGGTTAACGTAATAGTTTCGGTATTCTTTAAAGTAGATAGTTTTTACATTGTAGGCATTCAAGTAAACTCACATGCTTGCTTGGTTACGTGCGTAGGAATTAAAATAAACGTTCATGCAATTATGTTTGCACGTATTTTAAAATGTAATTTGACAAGTAGACATTAAAATAAACTTCCATGCATTTTTTGCACGTATTTTACCATGCAATTTAACGGATAGGCATTAAAATAAACACAAAATTAATGATAGTTACAAAAATTATCAATGTAAATTATTTCGGGGAGCTCAGTTACGCCTTGAAACCTGGCATTTTTGGCGAAAATTAACCAAATTTTACTGTTGTGGAGGAGGAGAGCTGAAATGGTAAAAATTTATATGAACGTTTTTTCTCTTTTACATCAACCTTAGTTACATTTTTCAGAGTAGGGGTCATTAGACCCGTTATCCTCTTTAGCTACGCCTAAGTTTTTAAATGAACGCTCCATATAATTTGTCTTGTTTGTTAAGTTTTTTTTTGAAAATATTTGAATACTACATTGATTTGTCACATGTCACAAGTTCAATGAATCTTGCTTCTGTAGTAGCTCAAAAATTTTGAATGGCCAGCTACCTATGGACCACTGCACTCAACTAGACTCTACTAATGCCATCGAGGTTTTCAGTGGTAAGTGTTATACAAAAAAATTGATCAAATATTAAATTTTATCGACGTAAGAATTCACGCCTATTTTATAATTCAAAAACATATGAAAATTACAAATCAGCATTACTTAGAATAGCATTACGGCATTATTTATCGAACTGTACCTCTCTTTTTGTGTATTATATGGTCATACACATTTATCTATAAAGCATACACTAGAAAGTAACATAACTGATCACAGGTAAAAATTTAACTAAACATAGGAAATGAATACCGTTAAAACATATAAAAATGTAAAACTACCACTCCGATTGTTCAGTATTGTTCGAAAGATCATTTGATGAAGGTACGGAAGAGTACCATTTCTGCTTGAATGATGTTGTAGAATCCAATGAGAGTTATTGCGAACAAGGGGTTTGTGTGCCTGGCTGGCAGGGAACATTCTGCGATATTAGAGGTATGTCGTGATTCTCCAGTTATTACAGTTATTTTTGTTTTAGGTGAAAAGTTTTATAAAATCATGATTTAAGAATGTTGTCTTCTTATTTTTTGTCTCATTCCTTTTAAGTTTGGATAATTTAGATTATATTTATGTTGTCGTCTTTTCATAAAAGCTTCATTTCAATTAAACAAAATATTTCAAAAAAAATTTTTCAACGTGAACGCCCATCCTTTTCGATAACTTTCTCAAAGCACCGAACCCAATCCAAATCTTTTGTATATTCAAAGCCGTCGTAGATTTTAACAACAGTCAAGTTTCATATAAAACTTTGAATTCATACATTGTGGTGTTTTTATTGCATAATGTTTATAACATTAAAAATTTTATCTAGATTATAATAAAAAAAACTAAGATTAATAATAGAAAGGTTTATTTTGTTAAATTTTAACGTTGTTAGACAGTATTTTCAAGCGTTATATATCATTGCCTTTTAATATTTAAAATTTCACCGATATACAGATTGCAAAATAAAGAATGGTGGCTGTGGTCGTAACTTCAAATGCTTCCAAATAATCGTCAACAACTCCCCATTCATGAATTGTGCATGTGAACGTGGTTACTCATCAGCGGATAACGAGGAATGCATTAGTACGTTCAGCTGAGTTTCGTTACGTGAACAGCACAATATGTTTTATTTCAAATTGTTTTTCCGATACTTTTCCAAATACTATCAACGTTTATAATTGTTTTTTTAATTGTTTGCTTTTGAATCAAGTCAAAAATTTTATTTGAGGTGTGATTCCCGTAACCGAAGATGAAAGCAAAAACAAAAGTGTTACACTACTTGTCGTCGTCTTGTTCATCTTGATGTTCATTGCCGTTTCCATAGCTGTAGTTTTCAAATCATTAAAAAATATCAGAAAGAGGAAATCTGCGAAGTTGGCGAATATTCATGTAGTCGATCAAAAAACCAAGTTTGTTCAAATCTTCTGTCAAATAATTATTTTAAGACAATTCCGAACATTACTAACAATTTTTATGTTACTATGAGTTCACATGAAGTTTTCGAATCGTTTAACAAAAGTTCTATAACTACTTTGAGATGATTTCTAAAATTCATTGATGGTTAGAGTATAATTATTGTTATGAGATTGTAAATGAATTTATAAATTTGTCAAACCAATCTCATTCAAGTTTTTATAGTGTTTTAAATAGTTCCAATTTTGTCGACTTTCAGGGACAAAATCTTGAAATGAATGGTTAAAGTGGGTTGTGTTGTTTTGCTCAGAAGACAATTTTTTATTTCGTTCACACTCATTCAGTAATCAGCATTTTTAATATTTTTGTCTCTTATAGATTAAATTTTTGTATTTTAACATTGTTTTGAAATGTTCAGCGTATTTCCATTTTAAAGATAAATGAAAAGCTAATCACCTGATTTTTCTAAATTTAAATGTTATTAAAAACTAATCCAGGTAAAGGGCTACTCTAATTGAAAATTTTTTCAGCTGTTTTTTTTTACAAAACAAAATTGATTTTTTTTGACGACATCAAAATGTACCATTGTGGTTCAATTGACATATCTAATTTTTGTTCATTCTTCGAAATTATTTCTTAACCATTTTTTAGAAGTAACAACAACAATACCACAGACACGTATTCTCGTAAGAAGCGTTATTCAGCGCATTACATACATTACTTGCGATATCGAACTCCGTCACAACGACGACAGACTTAGAGGTGCCTTAAACATTGTACAATACCATCCATTATAGAATATTTTTCAACAATATTTAACATCAACGTTGTTTCAATTGATTTAAAACTGCTTGTAATATAAAGTTTGTAGACATAATCCAAATTTTTCAGTTAGACTGTGTTTTTATCTTTAAAGTCTAGACAATTTTCAAAGGAAAAGTTTAGTTATACTGCTGTTACATGAAATTATCGATAAAAATTAAAACCCTTTGTGTTTAGTGATTTAAGTTTTTATAATGTTTAGAAAAATAACATATAGATAGTGTTTATAAATTTCTATCTATCCAAACGGCCTTTTCTTTGTTTATTCACTAAAATAAATTCCCCATACGATGTATAATGCTTTAATATAACGAATGTTGTTGAATTTTTCATTGTTATCTTGTTTTTAAAATAAAGAAAAAGTGAAAAATTTTTTTTATTCCAATGTCCAAGTGTTTAAAAAACCATTTTTTTCATTGAAGTTTACGTTAAACTTTGCCAAAATTTAAAGAAAATAAAATGAGAATTTTCGTCGTGTTCAGAAAAAAATTTGACGCTTTATGAGCTTACGTCTGATGATAAGCTTCCTGTGAATATAATTAAAATTTTAACAAAGTTTTGAAAAAAATTAACATAAAAAACAAATTCGAACAAAACTGATATCGAATCTGATAGCTCCACTTTTATCAATTTATGACCTAAAATGTAATACAATTTTCACAACTAACAAAAAGTTGAAGGTCAATCTATGCCTTCATAGAAATTGAGAAATCTATAACACACACACACACACACACACACACACAAACAGCATATATTAATATGAGCTAAACGACGCCACACACAATCTCAAACCAATCCCAAAAACATTCAAAATCAGTCATTATAGGCATTCCAAAACATGTTATACTAAAAAATTATTTTAAGTGTATCAATAACCGTCAATAGATGGTTTTGGATCTGTGTATTTAAAAATTAATAATAGTTGGTAATTCATTTGAAACATATTTTTATTTAAAATATTGTAGTGGGAAATCTTTTCTAAAGGAGCCTCTGCTGACGTTGAGGTCAAGTTATTCTTAAAATTTGCATTGAAACTTGCAAGTGACTTGGCCAAAAATTTAATGTCAAGAGTCTTTAACTATAAAAAAAGTCTCAGTCCATATTTTCAGAGTGAAATTTTAAAGAGCCGCAACTATACTTTAACAAAAAAAACTTTAACAACAAGACTTCCTTGTCTACTACGCCTCTGCTGCTTGCTTAATATTGATTTGCAAAACGTAAAAAAAAATTAATTTAGCTGAGACAATAATAGGATTTATATTCTCATTCTGACCTGTTTCTTTTACTGGTTCTGTGAAATAGAAAAAAATAAAAATAATTAATATTTTTTTGGTGATAAAAGTGAATTTCAAATTTGAGCGGACAATGACTTTATTAAAGTCAAAATTTTGAAAACATAAAAAATATCAGAATCGTCAAATGGATAATTCAATCTTACACGAATGAATTCGATACCTCATATATCAAATTTTTTTAATTTCAATATTATAAAGATGTCATAAAATAATTGAAAATTATTTTTCAATATCATTTTTCTCAATATTCATTTAACATATTATTAAAATCGATTGTTCATTTTCACATTCATTCAGTTGAAATGCATTCTTTCAATATTCATCAATATGGTCTACCCAAAATTATACACAAATGATTTATTTTATGACTGTGTGTGTATGAGAGAGAGAGAGAGAGAGAGAGAGAGAGAGAGAGAGAGAGAAAGGGAGTAAGAGAAAGAAAGACATAAGGCTAAGATTGAGTACAAATGCAGATATATTTCACAAGAGTGAATATTTCATTAGTGAATTTCAAAATATTTCATACCATTTCCTTTACGTTTTTTCAAATGTTTAAACAGAATCGCTACTGGTAAAAGTGACAGAACGGCAAACACAATTATTGAGATGTATATTAACAAAATTGATTTGTTTTCTCCGTCTGATACTTTTAACACTGCAATTTATTAAAAAGTAATTTAAATCACTTTTTTTTATATAAAATTGTTTTAATTTAAAGTAAATCAACCATTATCCACACATATTAAATATATTTATGCGTTTAGGAAGCAGCTATCTAAGAGAACTCTTATTATTTAACATTAATCTGATTATTTTATGTGTCATTGATCTTGTCTGGATATTTTAAAACAAGAATACGTAGAATAAAAAAGGAATCAATTGCTTAAAAATATGAAGGAATTATGAAGTGCAAAGTTGAGCCGAATTTATCGGTATAAATGCCTCTAGACAATAAAAAACTGATTGTTTTAACTTATTCAGTTTTTATTATTTCATAAATTATCTTTAAATATCATTATGTGTTTTGATGCTACGATATCTATTCTGTGTAAAATCTAATTTTTATAGAATTCTCTGGGCAAGCCGTCGTAAATCGGGCCCTGATTCTAACCTATACATTCATTTTCATCGACTGCAGCATCTCTTGACTCGCAGATGCATCTCTCTTGCATCAAGCCGTTTACAATTTCTTGTACGCAGTTCATCGTCGTGTTACAACCTCCATTTTGAGTTGCACAATCTGCCGAACATGAATGTTTCTTATGCAATAGTTTTTAATCATAATATAAAAATTTTCTCAATTTTTTTAATTCTGAAAAATTAAATAGTTATTGGAGTTTGGAGTTAGAAATTAACAAAAAATTCATTATAACAGTTGAATATTAAATAAAAACAATTTTCAAAAAGTTAAATTAGATGTTGAAAGATGCCAATAAAACCTCTCCTATCACAGAATGCTCCAACCCAGCCAGGTAAACAAACACCAGATCTGCAATATGCCTTTCTATTTTCATTTTTATCATTTATGCAATAGTTGTACTTTGTCGATTTTCCACGAACATTTAAATCTGGTGACACTAAAGGTATTTGAAGAGTATTTGAAGAGTAATGAATATTTGAAGAAGTTTACAGCAAAAAACGAAACAAAAGAAAACGAAACGAAAATTTATTTGCATCTAAAAATTGATTAATTGATAGAAAGCAGATTGGCCAACGCAAAATCATTAATGAATTCATTGTTAATGGCCACCTAAACAGAAATTGCATTAAAAAGAAAATGATTGTCTTCGATAAATTTGTTCTAATGTAATTCAGTTGTCCATTGTTATTGCTGCCAGCATATTTAGTGATGGTTGAATATTGATGATAAATTGTTTGTCAGCTGTTTGTAGACAAAAATAACCGTGAAGTAGTTATTCGTCTCATCAAAATTTGATTTGAAAAAAAAATTATGGTCGTGTGCGATTGCTTTGTCAATAAAATTACTAAAAGTTGATGACAATATTGGTTTCATTTGAAAATTCATGACTATTTCAATTTTTGTTTAAAATGTTAGTATCATCGGAGTAACAATAAAAATCAAAAAACGTCTATGCCATGGGAAGATGGTTCATGAAAATCCCAAAGTGCAATGGACCAATATGCTTTCCTGAGAAAACTCCAAAGTAAATGGATTGTATCGTAGAATTTTATTCTGCCATCTAACAAACTGTTTTCTGTCAGTTAAGTAGCTACCAAGCCATCTCAAAAATGTTCCACGAATTCTAACTTTTTGATCAGAATGATATTGTCATTGCAGTTAAAATGATGTTTTAATTTTGAAGAAAAGTGACAATTCTTTTTTAGGTCATCCTAAACATATAGATTATCTTACTGAAAGAGAACCAATCATTATTTCCAGGGTGTTGACAAATTTAATCTTTAATACAATTAAATACTCTTTGTTCAGGCAATATGAGTTTTGTTTGTTCAATAAAGCTAATTTTTAAGAACGGATTTCATTCAAGGATTCTAAATCGGTTCAAATTAATAGATTGTTAATGTTGAAAAAATATTATCATTTCTTTCCACTGTTTTTAACTAAATTCACTTAGGTTGCTTATAATTTCTGAATTATTTTCACTAATATTTGATTGAATAAATATCGAACTAAGCTTCTTAAAAAAGGTTTTGAAAGAATTTGAGTTTATGAGTCATTTCATCATGCAGAAATAAGAAAAAATTGATAATTACCATCACTGAGTATTGAAAAAACAGAAGGCTCAGCGCACTGCTCTATGTTCACTTGATTTTTGAATTGTATTTTTCGTCCACATTGGCATCCTCCAGACTAAGATAAAATTATTTCAATGGAAACTCTTTTTCGTTATAATTAAAAAAATTTCAATTGAAAAATGAATTTTAACTGTTTATTTAGTAATACTTAATTTATTAGGTCGGCTTGAGAGCTCAGTCAAAGTAGTGTGTCTCGAGTTGTAGTCACGCGTTAGTCTGGTTCGAATACTGTCTGTCCAAAAAACAGAAAAAATTATACGCTATGCGGGAATGACGTGATACTTGCGATGCAAATGCATAACGAATTTACATAAGTTATAAGTTTAGAATAAACAACATGTAAGCTGGTCTGCGTTTGACAGAGCTGCATAATAAAGAGTACAAAAACATTACCACTACTGGAACCAAAAGACTTCTGAAACTAACACTTGTTCCACTGTATGGAAAGTCAAGTTCTCTGCATCTATTCACACAGAGTAATTTGCTCAAAGATTCGCTTTCTTTGTGTTCAAGTTCCAAAAATTTAAAACATCCGATATTAAGTGATACATTCGATATTTCTGTTAAAAATTATTTAACAAACTTAATAAATTTTTACAGGACCGGCTTTAGGCATAGGCAGAATTGATACAAAGTAAAATGGTGTTCAACGTTTCTGTCAGGTAAGTCATAAATGGTGGCTATCGCTTCAGAGATTTCTACAAAAAAAAACTTCTCTATAGCAAACACTAATTCTATTGCTAATATTGGCAAAAATGTACCTATATCTGCCGATATCGAAATATACCAATAATGTTTCTTATATCGGTATAGAAATAAAATGATACCAATGAATTTGTATACTATTGTACTGAAACAAAACGGTTGTTGAAAGTCTCGACTTTAATGAATTTATATTTAACGTTGTTTGTCTTTAAATGGTGTCATAATTTTTTCAATTAAATGAAATAGTTTAAGATGTTTATGACCACTTTTCATTTGTTTGAAACATTTTAAAAATTTAACCAATTATATTCTAAAAAGCATTTAAAAAACAAAAAAACGTTACTGGCGTATACAGAATAGAAAGATTTGCCCCCACATGATAGTCCATCCGAACATTTTTTGTCACATTTGCTGGCACTGACCTCGTTTTGAACATTTTTGGCACATACACATAACTGTTTGTTCTAAATTCAATAAAGTTGAATATAACCACTGAAAATGTATATGTATGTAATTCATTGAAAATTTAATAACAATACGATCTACATTAGAAAAAAAATACAAATTGCGCACCTGCATTCCATAGAATAATGTTTGACTGCAATATTCGGAGCAAGATTTGACCGAATTGATCATCAGCTCCTTGGCTGAATGCACCTTTTGAAAACATCCTTTATAGTTCCAATTACCCTTAGGTTTTTTCACTTGAACATGTGTACCGATGAAAATTAACAAATTAATTTTTAGACAAATGCATGAAAAAAATATCATGCAACCTTCTGGCACATCAAAGATTTCCTCATCTGGTGGTTTACATTCAACTTGAACCTTTCCATTATCGATTTCTTCATCATTAACCTCCCAACATATTTTATCACCACACCCTCCATTGTTATCTCTGCATGGAAGTGTGCCAACATACGTTTCGTTGGTACTTTGATATGTATAAACTTGTACGTTTTGATTTGCCGCTGGAGTGGTTGGGACGACAGAAATAGTTTTGATCTGGATGGTTGTAGCTGAGGTGGTGGTGAATGGTTCAGTGTGTTTGGGTGTTGAACTCTTCGTTTTAAACGCATTTCGTACCTAGCAAGCAGAAATAAACAGAGCGAAGAAAGTAAGGTTAGGATAACGTGTAATAATCAAACAGTTTCAATGACGTTAGTTTGTTTCGTTTTAAACAAATATCCGAAGATTGGTTCAAAATTACACAACTCTTAACCAGCTTCAGAGTTAGTCCCCGGTATGAAAAAAGGAAAGCTTCTAATGGTTTTTTTTAAATAAAATAAGCAACAAAAGGTCTTTAGAAAAATTGGCAAACATTTCTTCTGCTTTTGTTTTACAAACTTCTCAACTTATTGCTTTACGGTGTTTGGAAAAGTAGTTAATAGCGGATGTTTTACGCAAAAAAGAAAGGTTCAAAAAAAGTCACGTGATACCTGAACGTCCCCTTAGGTTTTAAAATTAAAAAAATTTCTACCTTTGATACAGAATGGTCCTGCCGAACCGGGAATGCAAACGTTCGTGTCGCAGTAAGCTTTGCTACTCTCTGTTCTGTCATTCTTGCAGTATTGGTAGATCTCCGATTTGTTTTGCCTAAATGAGACTTGATGGTTTTAAAAAATGTTGAATTGAAAAAGTTGAATAACAAAAACCAATTAATAAATATTTAATTATAAATGATTAAATGAATGTTAACTGAATAAAAATAGTGCATTGAGTTACTTAAAACTCGCTACACTATATGTTTATTTTATATCGTTTGATGCTAAAACGCATAAAAAGATAACTACAACAAAAATGATTAATGATAACAGTAAATAATTATATTAGTGGTAATAAAAAAATTAATAAAAATAACAATACAAACAATAATAATAAGGAACTCTTTTATTTTCAAAGCAAGTGATAATTGACTAAAACAACGAAATGTTAAAATAATGAAATGTTAAAAAAACAACTAAATAATAATAAATAGAAATAACATTATTAATATTTTCATTATTATTATTATATTATGATACCACTTGAAACGGTGAAGTCCTTTATGGAACAATCCATAACGCCCTTCTGTCTGAGGCCAGTGAAAGAGTTGCCACATTGGCACATATCTTCCTGAAAATAATTTATCGTCTGTAGAAATATTTCTCAATACAGTTTTCATTTCAACGGAAAGAAATCAGCAACGGGGCCCAGAGAATGTTGAAAGGTTTCCATAAATTAGAAACTTTTGCTAATTTATGAGTCATTAATAATACTTACAAAAGTAAGGTTTAAAAGTCATTAATACTTACAAAAGTAATGTTTAAAAGCTACAGGAACAAGAAGCATTTAATATGCCTTAGCTATATTAGCATGTCTATACTAATATAGCTAAGGCATAGCTAAGTTTGTGCCTATGAGGTTCTAAATATAAGGCGCCATGCAAATCAATAGATCATCATTTGATAACGAATTAACAAAATTTTAACCGATCATTTTGGACGTATAAAATGATAATTAAGTATCCTTTTAGTCGATTATACTGTGAAGCTAAAAATTAAAATTTCGAGTGATCTTTTAAAATATTTTGAACAATTAAAACTTACATACCTGAGTGTATAGGATCTATTTCGATTTTTCAACCACCTTCAGCACTTGTTGCTATTTTTAAAGAAAATTTTTATAACCCAATACTTGTTGCAGTTTATACAGTTTTCACAATTACTTGGTTATACAACTTAAATATACAAACTGCAAGAAATGCTGAAGTTGATTGCAAAATCAAAATAGGAAAACTTTATCTAATAAAATAAATAATTACAAAAAGAATTTGGTTACAAAAATTGAGAAATGTAATAAAAAACTATCTAACGCTAGAAATTTGGTTGATTTCATAAATTTGGTTGGTTGGTGAAACTAAAAATCAAAAATATTCTTTAAAAAGATTTTGAAAAAATTAAAACTGACATAAGCTTTAGTGAAACATATTCTAGATAAAACTGAATAAAATTTGAAAATACGATTGAGGAACAACGCATTAATAAATTGTGTTTCTTCCACAAAAGTTGATAAGAGTTAAAAACATTTGACCATCTCTTATTAACTGATATATAAAGAAATTTTTGTTATTTGAACCTCATTTTTTGGGCATTTTTATTTGAGATGCACATTTTCAAATTGATAATTTGAAGAAATAATAAATTAAAAAAGTAAATTCGTATGCATGAATATTTATATATATAAATAAATAAATATATATATTGATTTGTTATTGATATATACATATATATATATAAACACTAAAACAAGCTGTAACTATTCATTTTCAACAAAAAAGAAATCAACAAAATAGAATAGAGACACTGTATATATGTATTTGAGCATAAACAAAATATCAATTTGAACACCGAAGTTGGTATAGGAATACGGAATAAAGCTTTTTTGTTCAATCATGCATAAAATAAGCAAAAATTGTGATTTTGAACTAAATAAACTTCAAAATGATTTACGATGAACCGTTAGAAATATCGGAAAGTTTTAATTTTTAATTTTAAACTGAAGACAATTAATAATAGGTTAAAAATAGGCCATTCAAAATAGACTCATTCTTGGATAATCAACAAAACAAATCCACCAGCATGCAACTTTTGTGATGAAAAACTTTCTGTACTGCACATATTGGTGGAATGCAAAAACCATGATGATATTCGGAAACGATATCAGATCCCCTCAGATATTGAAAAAATTTAAAAGAGAGAAAACATCAATAATCTAATAACATATCTTCAGGAGATAAAAATACTCGACAAAATATAGAAATATTTGAAAAAACTCAAAAGAACCCTAAGACAATTTTGTTTCAAAAGAAAAAAGGGCGTAAAGATAGCCAGTATCGCTGAAACGTCGTTAAACTGCATTAATAATAATAATAATAATAATAATAATAATAATAATAATAATTTAACCTTAATAAACTTCATCAAATGATAAAAGTTTTGTTAGTCTCTCATAAGTTTTGTAATCTAGGTTTTATCTTTGATTCTACTATATCTCTTTCTTCTCAGATTAATATTGTTGCTAGAAGTTCTTACTTTTATCTACGCAGAAAAAAACTCAACTACAAGTTGAATAATGCCGAAAACGCAGTGATCTTTATAAATAATTGTATATATATATATATATATATATATATATATACAATTCTTGACACTGCAATCAACATTATAAATTCTTTCAGGCATAAGTTTAGTTCATTCATGACACTGCAGTCAACATATATATATATATATATATATATATATATATATATATATATATATATATATATATATATATATATATGTGTGTGTGTGTGTGTGTGTGTGCTCATTTAAAATAACATTTTTTCAAATCGTATTGATAAAACAAAATATTATTCAACTAACTTTGCTCCCGCTATATTCAAACCTTTCCTCAAAGCATTTAGTCTGACATTCAGGTTTCGGAAAATTTCCTTTCATTTGGTTAGACATGTTGAGATGCATGTAACAAGCAACATCAATTACTGTATTTCCTGTCACAATATGTAAAAAGTTGTTAAATAAACTTTAAAAAATTAGAAACAAAAGTTTACCCAAAGATAATTTAACTAGTGGCTTTCTTATTATAAAAAAATTATGAATTTTATTACTTTTGTAGTAAGATAAATAATAATTATGATTTGAACCGCAGGGAAGTCCGCCGTCACAAATATAATTGCAATATGACTCATCCTCTTGCTGACCCAAATTATCTGAGCAAAAACATTTACCTGGCTATTTTTTCCAAAAACAAAATTTAAATAAAATTAAATTGTTATAAGTTTTAGTCAAATATATTGGGGCCATGTTTACGCTATTTTGTTTTGCAGGCACATGTTGTAATTTGTAAATTTTCTAACCTCGAAGTTTGTCAATAATTTTTACTTTTATTAGTAATAATGAACCCTCCTTAGCGTGAGAATAAGTATATAAATAATAGTGTTAATGAAAAATGTTTGAATAGTTGAAAATTGACCTGCAGTGCATAATACTTTGTCCCCGTACAATAACGGTAGCATGAAATAAACAAGTCATTTCTCATACTTTTCCCATTTGTTAAATCAGCGAAACATCCTAAGTGATTTCTAAAACTCAGCAAATTATCATTCACTTCTGAATAAAAAAATATAATGAAATAAAATAAAACATCTAGTTAGTATTCGATCGGTAAATTTTCCAAAAAACTTTATAGATTGAATTCAAAAATTAATAAATGTCTTACAATATCACTACGCAATGAACTGGTTCAATTACTTTTGGTCCAAAACTCAAAAACCATGATAGGCCACGCATGTACGATGTGGTGCTTGCTTGCGTCGTCGTTTGGCTATTACAGCGTTTGAAATACGGGCATTTGAATAATATAATTATACAATGGTTATGTGTGAAAGTTCTGAAGAAAAAATTATCAACTTTTCCAAAATCCTGAACAGATAAGCGTATGGATTGTAAAATTATGGGTTAGGGTATTTTACTGTTTTAAAGTTTCTAAAAATTTTCAGCCAAACTCCACCAATCTTGTGAACATATATTTTGAACATAAAAATTGCAATGCACTCTGGTGGATACTAATTCACCAGCATTTTCAGTGTTTTCTTAGGAGTCTCAACAACAAACACAGAGGACTTGCTAATTAACTCATCACACAGACATAGAATGTGATAAGCGTGGATGTCTGTGAAATCGAATCCAGTGACTGCAACAGCAACGCCAGGACAACTACCATTACACCGTCACTCACGTTGCATTTAAAATGTTTAATGATTGATAATGAGCAGCTTACTTTCCATTGATTGTCGGGAATAGATAACCGCAACGAAAATCCACACGTATAATCTTCTTGAAGGTTCGGAACGTGACATTTAGCTGATCATTTTCTACTTTTACTCAGTATTTGAAAAAATACATTCACGAATACTACGTGGTCTTATGGTGTAGTTATAAAAATTTTTTCAAATTATAAAACGGTTGCTTTTTTTGTTTATTCGCGTGTAAATATTTATCAAGTTTTTATCGTCACGACGTAAGTTTTAGGGTTTTGAAAACGCCGCCTTATTTCGGAGCGAGTCCATTCATGACCATAGACATCAGAAGCGAAATTTCAAATGTAACCTTTCTACCAACCTTCAACCAATGTAGTGTTCAAAATATTAGAGTCACGTGGTCATATTTTGCAGCTCCCAAAACTAGCTTGGCAGCATGGTTTTTGAATAAGCTGAACCATAGATATCATCGTGTAATGTAAACCATAAAACAAACTATTGCAATAATCTTATCTCTCATATACAAAAGCATTGATCGAACTTTGGACAAGATCTCTTTGAAGTGACCTTTTAAATATCCTCAACATGCGCAACTGATTCAATTTTACGTGATGATGGATTGATAGCTGTGGGTCCAGAAAGCAACCCAAATTGACAACCTTGGAAGAAAATTTAATCTGCTGATCATTAATGATGGCTGAATCGATTTTAACTCTTGTGAACTGTTGCCATGTTCCCTTGGGCATTAATTGCGTTTTACATTGGTTCAACTTTAAACGGTTGCTATACATCCAAACATCTAATTTTGTCAAGCATTTAATGAATATGTTCAACATAGCTGGAAATTTACTTGGTGGTTCACTGACAATGATCATCATCAACAAAAGCGTGACTATAGAAACCAAATGAATCAAGTAATCGAAAAACATCTACCGTGCTCAAAACAAATAATAAGTGTCCTAAGACCGATCTCTGCGCCACACCGTTAACAACCAGTAGCGTATCTGACAAATTGTTATTAAACAGCATTTGTCCAGCAAAATACCATGATCAACGCAATCAAACGCTGCACTCATGTTCAAAAGTTTCGAAACAATACAACTTTTATAACCTATTCTTTAATGTTTACTTTGTTGTAGTTCAATTGGCATTTTTAATTTTTATTCATTCTTGGCAATTCTTTCTTAACCATTTTTTAGAAGAAACAACAACAATACCACAGACACGTATTCTCGTAAGCGTTATTCAGCCAATTACATACATTACTCGCGATAGGCTGGGATCGAACTCTGTCACAGTGACGACACACTTAGAGGTGCCTTAAACAATGTACCACACCGCCCATTACAGAAAATTTTTTAACAATATTTAACATCATCGTAGTTTCAATTGATTTAAAACTGTTTATAAAATGAAGTTTGTAGACATAATCCAAAATTTTCATAGTTAGATTTTGTGTTTATCTTCAAAATCTAGACAATGTTTAAAGGAAAAGTTAAGTTATACTGCTGTTACATGGAGTAATTGATAAAAATTAAAACCCTTTTTGTTTAGTTATAAAAGTGTTTATAAATTTCTATCAATCCAAACGGCTTTTTCTTTGTTTATTTACTATAATACATTTCCATACGATGTATAATGCTTTAATATAACAAATGTTGTTGAATTTTTAATTGTTATTTTATTTTTAAAATAAATGGCAGAAATTGAAAAATTGTTTTTATTCCATTGTCCATGTGTTTAAATTACCAAATTTGTTTTATTGGAATATACGTTAAACTTTGCCAAAATTTCCAAAAAATAAAATGAGAATTTTCGATGTATTCAGAAAAAACTTGACGTTTCATGAGTTTTCGTCTGTTGATAAACTTCCTGTGAATATAATTAAAAATTTAACAAATTCTTGAAAAAAATTAACATTAAAAAAAAATCGATTAAAACTGATATCAAATCTGATAGCTTCTCTTTTATCAATTTATGACCTAAAATGCAATACAATTTCCACAATTAACAAAAAAGTTGAAGGTCAATCTATGCCTTCATAGAAATTGAGGAATCTATATCACACACACACACACACACACACACACACACACACACACACACACACACACACACACACACACACACACACACACACACACACACACAAACAGCATATATTAATATGCACTAAACGATGGCCACACACAATCTCAAACCAATCCCAAAAACATTCAAAATCAGTCATTATAGGCATTCAAAAACATGTTATACTAAAAAATTATTTTAAGTGTATCAATAACCGTCAATAGATTGTTCTGTGTATTTAAAAATTAATAAAAGTTGTTAATTTAATTGAAACAAATTTATATATAAAATATTGCATTGGGAAAACTTTTCTAAATGAGCCTCTACTGATGTTGAGGATAAGTTATTCTTAAAATTTGCATTGAAACTTGCAAGTGACTTTGCCAAAAATTTATTGTCGTGAATCTATAACAACAAAGACTTCCTTGTCTACTATGCTTCTGCTGCTTGCTTAATATCGATTTGCAAAACGTAAAAAAATTAATTTAGCTAAGACAATAATAGGATTTACCCTTATTCTGATCTGTTTCTATTACTGGCTCTGTAAAATAGAAAAAAAAATTAAAAGTTTTGTTTTTGTTATTATTATGATTATTTTTTTGGTCATAAAAGTGAATTTCTAAATTTGAGCGAACAAACATATGTCAAAATTTTGAAAATGTGAAAAATATTGGAATCGTCATTACAAAATTGATGAAGTCTAATGGATAATTCAAATATATATGAATGAATTCAATCCCTCATATAATAATTTTTTTCAATTTCATTATTATAAAGATGTTAAAATATAAATGAAAATTATTTTTCAATAATATTTTTCTCGATATTCATTTAACAAATTATTAAAATCAATTGTTAATTTTCACATTCATTCAGTTGAAAGGCATTCTTTCATTATTCAATGTTCATCAATATGGTCTCACCCAAAATTATACACAAAAGATTTATTTCGTGATTGTGTGTATGTGTGAGAGAAAGAAAAAGAGAGAGAGAGAGATAGAGAAAGAAAGACAGAGAAAGAAAGAGATAAGCGTAAGATTGAGTACATTTGTGTGCAGATATATTTCACAAAAGTGAATATTTTATTAGTGAATTTCAAAATGTTTCATACCATTTCTATTATGTTTTTTCAAATGTTTAAACATCAGAATCGCAACCACAAGTAAGAATGACGAAACGGCAAACCCGATCATTATGATGTACATTAACGAAATTGATTTGTCTTCTCCGCCTAAAACATCTAACACTGCATTTTGTTAAAAAGTAATTTAAATCACTTTTTTTTATAAAACATTGATGTATTTTAAAGTAAATCAACTTACTTCTACACATATTAAATATATTTATTCGTTTAGGAAGCAGCTATCTAAGAGAACTCTTTTTTATTTAAAATTAATCTGATTATTTCTTGTAACATTCATCCTATCCGTGAAATTTGAAACCAGAAAATATAGAATAGAAAAGGAATTAAATGCCTGAAAATATGAAGTGCTAAGACGAGCCAAATATGTCGGTATAAATACCTCTGTACAATAAAAAAACTGGATGTTTTTATTAGTCTATTTCTTATTATTTCATAGTTTTTCATTAAATATCATTATGTGTTTCAAAGCTAAAATATCTATTCTGTGTAAAATCCAAATTTTATGGAATTTTCTGGGCAAGCCGTTCGTAAATCGGGCCCTGATTCTAACCTATACATTCATTTTCATCGACTGCAGCATATCCTGTCTTGCAGAGGCATCTCTCAAGCATCAAGCCGTTTACGATTTCTTGTACGCAGTTCATCGTCGTGTTACAACCTCCATTTTGAGTTGCACAATCTGCCGAACATGAATGTTTCTTATGAAATTCCTATGCAATGGTATGAAATCACATTTATATGATTTTTTTCAATTTTTTTTATTACTGAAAAACTTGAAAATAATTGGAGTTTGGAGTAAGATTTTTAACAAAACAATTCATTATAGCAGTTCAATGATAAAAAAAACAGTTTTCAAAATGTTAAATTGAATGTTGACAGATGCCAATAAAACCTCTCCTATCACAGAATGCTCCAACCCAGCCAGGTAAACAAACACCAGATCTGCAATATGCCTTCCTAATTTCATTTTTATCATTTATGCAATAGTTGTACTTTGTCGGTTTTCCACGAACATTTAAATCTGGTGACACTAAAAAGGATGGTTATTTAAAGAAGTTTAAAATGCAATATTCCAGTTTACGCATAAATTTGATATCAGATATTGAGTAAATTTTAAACTTATTCATTAACAGCAAATTCTAAATTTTTGGTCTTTTGCATTTAATTCAGAAAAAAATGATTGTCTTCGATAAATTTGTTCTAATGTAATTCAGTTGTCCAATGTTATTGCTGCCAGCATATTTAGTGATGGTTGAATATTGATGGTAAATTGTTTGTATGCTGTTTGTAGACAAAAATAACCGTGAAGTAGTTATTCGTCTCATCAAAATTTGATTTGAAAAAAAATTAGGGTCGTGTGCGATTGCTTTGTCAATAAAATTACTAAACGCTGATGACAATATTGGTTTCATTTGAAAGTTCATGACTATTTCAATTTTTGTTTAAAATGTTAGTATCATCGGAGTAACAATAAAAATCAAAAAACGTCTATGCCATGGGAAGATGGTTCACGAAAATCCCAAAGTGCAATGGACCAATATGCATTCTGAGGAAGCTCAAAAGTAAATGGATTGTATCGTAGAATTTTTATTTTGCCATCAAACAAACTGTTTGTTCAATAAAGCTAATTTTTACTAACGGATTTCATTCAAGGATTCTAAATTGGTTCTTAACGAAAATTAAGAGATGGTTAATGTTAAAAAGATATTATCACTTCTTCCACCGTTTTGAACTAAATTCGCTTATATTGCTTATAATTTCTGAATTATTTTTATTAATATTTGATTAAATAAATATCGAACTAAAACTAACATCTTAAAAAATGTTTAGAAAAAATTTGGGTTTATCATGCAGAAATAAGAAAAATTTGATAATTACCATCGCTGAGTATTGAAAATACAGAAGGCTCAGCGCACTGCTCTATGTTCACTTGATTTTTGAATTGTATTTTTCGTCCACATTGGCATCCTCCAGACTAAGATAAAATTATTATTTCAATGGAAACTCTTTTTCGTTATAATTAAAAAAATTTCAATTGAAAAATGAATTTTAACTGTTTATTTAGTAATACTTAATTTATCAGATCGGCTTGGTAGCTCAGTCAAAGTAGTGTGTCTCGAGTTGTAGTCACGCGTTAGCCTGGTTCGAATACTGTCTGTCCAAAACACGGAAAAAATTATACGCTATGCGGGAATGATGTGATACTTGCGATGCAAATGCATAACGAATTTACATAAGTTATAAGTTTAGAATAAACAACATGTAAGCTGGTCTGCGTTTGACAGAGCTGCATAATAAAGAGTACAAAAACATTACCACTACTGGAACCAAAAGACTTCTGAAACTAACACTTGTTCCACTGTATGGAAAGTCAAGTTCTTTGCATCTATTTACACAGAGTAATTTGCTCAAAGATTCGCTTTCTTTGTGTTCAAGTTCCAAAAATTTAAAACATCCGATATTAAGTGATACATTCGATATTTCTGTTAAAAATTATTTAACAAACTTAATAAATTTTTACAGGACCGGCTTTAGGCATAGGCAGAACTGGAATGAATATAAAGAAAGCAATATTGATACAAAGTAAAATGGTGTTCAACGTTTCTGTCAGGTAAGTCATAAATGGTGGTTATCGCTTCAGAGATTTCTACAAAAAAAAACTTCTCTATAGCAAACACCAATTCTATTGCTAATATTGGCAAAAATGTACCTATATCTGCCGATATCGAAATATACCAATAATGTTTCTTATATCGGTATAGAAACAAAATGATACCAATGAATTTGTATACACTGTACTGAAACAAAACGGTTGTTGAAAGTCTCGACTTTAATGAATTTATATTTAACGTTGTTTGTCTTTAAATGGTGTCATAATTTTTTCAATTAAATGAAATAGTTTAAGATGTTTATGACCACTTTTCATTTGGTTGAAACATTTTAAAAATTTAACCAATTATATTCTAAAAAGCATTTAAAAAACAAAAAAACGTTACTGGCGTATACAGAATAGAAAGATTTGCCCCCACATGATAGTCCATCCGAACATTTTTTGTCACATTTGCTGGCACTGACCTCGTTTTGAACATTTTTGGCACATACACATAACTCTTTATTCTAAATTTAATAAAGTTGAATATAACAACTGTGAAGGCATATGTATGTAATTTGTTAAAAATTTATTAACAATATGAATTACATTATAAAAAAAAATAAATTGGAAAAAAAAGAGAAAAAAGCGCACCTGCATTCCGTAGAATAATGTTTGACTGCAATATTCGGAGCAAGATTTGACCGAAATGATCATCAGCTCTTTGGATGACTGCAACTTTTGAAAACATCCTTTATAGTTCAGCTAACTTCAAGTTTTTTTAACTTGAGAAAGTTAACGGATGAAATAAACCAAATTAATCAAATTCATGTCAATGGAGTTTTAGACAACTGTTTGAGAAATATCATGCAACCTTCTGGTATATCAAAGATTTCCTCATCTAAGGGGTTACCTTCAACTCGAACCTTTCCATTACCGATTTCTTCATCATTAACCTCCCAACATATTTCATCACCACACCCTCCATTGTTATCTCTGCATGGAAGTGTGCCAACATACGTTTCTGTGGAATTTTCATATTGTACGTTTTGGGTTGCAGCTGAAGTGGTCGCGTCGAGTGAAATAGTTTTGATCTGGATGGTTGTAGCTGAGGTGTTGATGGGTTTTGCGTGTTTGGTTGTTAAACTTTCCGTTGTAAGCTCTTTGACATTTAGCAGAAAAAAACAGAGCGAAGAAAGTAAGGTTAGGATAACTTGTAATAATCAAACAGTTTCAATGACCTTAGTTTTTTTCGTTTTAAATAAATATACCAATATTTGTTCAAAATTACACAACTTTTAATCAGCTTCAAAGTTAGTCCCCGGTATAAAAAAAAGGAAAGCTTCTAATGGTTTTTTTTAAATAAAATAAGCAACAAAAGGTCTTTAGAAAAATTGGCAAACATTTCTTCTGCTTTTGTTTTACAAACTTCTCAACTTATTGCTTTACGGTGTTTGGAAAAGTAGTTAATAGCGGATGTTTTACGCAAAAAAGAAAGGTTCAAAAAAAGTCACGTGATACCTGAACGTCCCCTTAGGTTTTAAAATTAAAAAAATTTCTACCTTTGATACAGAATGGTCCTGCCGAACCGGGAATGCAAACGTTCGTGTCGCAGTAAGCTTTGCTACTCTCTGTTCTGTCATTCTTGCAGTATTGGTAGATCTCCGATTTGTTTTGCCTAAATGAGACTTGATGGTTTTAAAAAATGTTGAATTGAAAAAGTTGAATAACAAAAACCAATTAATAAATATTTAATTATAAATGATTAAATGAATGTTAACTGAATAAAAATAGTGCATTGAGTTACTTAAAACTCGCTACACTATATGTTTATTTTATATCGTTTGATGCTAAAACGCATAAAAAGATAACTACAACAAAAATGATTAATGATAACAGTAAATAATTATATTAGTGGTAATAAAAAAATTAATAAAAATAACAATACAAACAATAATAATAAGGAACTCTTTTATTTTCAAAGCAAGTGATAATTGACTAAAACAACGAAATGTTAAAATAATGAAATGTTAAAAAAACAACTAAATAATAATAAATAGAAATAACATTATTAATATTTTCATTATTATTATTATATTATGATACCACTTGAAACGGTGAAGTCCTTTATGGAACAATCCATAACGCCCTTCTGTCTGAGGCCAGTGAAAGAGTTGCCACATTGGCACATATCTTCCTGAAAATAATTTATCGTCTGTAGAAATATTTCTCAATACAGTTTTCATTTCAACGGAAAGAAATCAGCAACGGGGCCCAGAGAATGTTGAAAGGTTTCCATAAATTAGAAACTTTTGCTAATTTATGAGTCATTAATAATACTTACAAAAGTAATGTTTAAAAGCTACAGGAACAAGGAGCATGGAATATGCCTTAGCTATATTAGCATGTCCAAACAATAGTTTGTGCCTATGAGGTTCTAAATATAAGGCGCCATGCAAATCATTAGATCATCATTTGATAACGAATTAACAAAATTTTAACCGATCGTTTTGGACGTATAAAATGATAATTAAGTATCCTTTTAGTCGATTATATTGTGAAACTAAAAATTAAAATTTCGAGTGATCTTTTAAAATATTTTGAACAATTAAAACTTACATACCTGAGTGTATAGGATCTATTTCGATTTTTCAACCACCTTCAGCACTTGTTGCAATTTTTAAAGAAAATTTTTATAACCCAATACTTGTTGCAGTTTATACAGTACTTGGTTATACAAATTTTCTATACAAACTGCAACAAATGCTGAAGTTGATTGCAAAATCAAAACTTTAAGAAATAAGAAAACTTTATATTATTCTATTTGAGAATATGGGCACAGACACAACATATCAATTTAAACACCCGACATGGTATAGGAATACGGAATAAAGCTTTTTTGTTCAATCATGCATAAAATACTAAATTAAATAAACCTGAAAATGATTTACGATCGACCGTTAGAAAAACCGAAGTTTTATTTTTGATTTAACCTTAATAAACTTTATCATAATGATAAAAGTTTCATTAGAAAAATTGAGAAACTCAACTACAAGTTGAATAATGCCAAAAACGCAGTGATCTTTATAAATAATTGTATATATTTATATATTATTCAACTAACTCTGCTCCCGCTATATTCAAACATTTTCTCAAAGCATTTAGTCTGACATTCAGTTTTCGGAAAATATCCTTTCATTTGGTTAGACATGTTGAGATGCATGTAACAGGCAACATCAATTACTGTATTTCCTGTCACATTATATAAAAAGTTGTTACATATACTTTAAAAAATTAGAAACAAAAGTTTGCAATACTTTTCACTACGCAAAGATAGTTTAACTAGTGGCTTTCTTATTATAAAATAATTATGTATTTTATTACTTTCGTAGATGGATGAAAAACCACCATTTGAACCACAGAAAAGTCCGCCGTCACAAAAATAATTGCAATTTGACTCATCCTTCGGGTGACCCAATTCATTTGTGCATAAACATTCATCTGTCTATGTTTTCCAAAAACATAATTTTATTAAAATTAAATTATTATAAGTTTTAGCCAATTATATTGTGGTCGTGTTTACGCTATTTTGTTTTGCAGGCACATGTTGTAATTTGTAAATTTATTAATCTCGAAGTTTGTCAATAATTTTTGTTTTTATTAGAAGAATAAGTATATAGATAATAGTGTTAATGAAAAATGTTTGAATAGTTGAAAATTGACCTGCAGTGCGTAATACTTCATCATCTTACATTCACGGTAACATGAAATAAACGAGTCAATTTTCAGACTTCGTTTAATTTTTAAATCACTGAAACATCCTTTGTAATTTATAAAATTCAGCAAACTCTTATTCACTTCTGAATAAAAAATTATAATAAAATAAAAAATCTAGTTGGTATTCGATCGGTAAATTTCTCAAAAAACTTTACAGATTGAATTCAAAAATTAATAAATGTCTTGCAATATCACTACGCAATGAACTGGTTCAATTACTTTTGGTTCAAAACTAAAAAACCATCATAGGACATTCATGTGAGCCATGGTGCATGTTTGCGTCGGTCCTTTGCATGTTACAGCGTTTGAAGTACGATTGTAAAGTTATGGGTTAGGGTATTTTACTGTTTTAAATTTTCTAAAAATTTTCAGCCAAACTCCACAAATCTTGTGAACATATATATATATATATATATAATATATATATGCATATATATATATTTCTTTATTTTTTGAATAATAACTTTAATTTGTTTAATAATGAAGCGTTTGTAGTATTTTCGAGTTTTATTTGCTTGAAGGACTTAATTTGGTTTTCAATTCAAATGTTTAAAAAATGATCTTGAAACTAATAAATGTGACATTAATGAAAAGTTGCATGGTAATAACAAAAGAGATAAATTGGTGGCCTGCATAAAAATTCTCAAATGTTTGAAATCGACTGGCTTGTTGGAAAAATGTCCAGTTTATGTAAGTAGGGATTTGAAAAGAATACCGGCTTACCAGTTTATGTAAGTAGGGATTTGAAAAGAATACCGGCTGTTGAAAATGTTATTAAAGTGAATTTCGATGGTTTAAGAAATGAAATTAACGAAATTGTATCAAAACAACAGGTGTACATGTGCAATGCTATTGAGGCTTGCAAAAAACAAGCTGACTTGCTTAATCAACACATTCTACAGCTGAACGAGAAAGTTAATACTCTAGTATCCTATTTTAATAAAACAATTAACGTTGTGGATAATAAAGAAATACTAATTCAATTTCGAACAACGTGCTTAATATTAGCAAAAACTTGTTGAATGAAGGGTTGACAACCCCAACTAATAACATTAAAATTTCCTTGGCCGATAGAAGCAGCGTGAATTCATGCCCAATTAATGGAAAATGATGAAAATTTTACATTGGTTGAACGCAGCAAAAACAGAATAAAATCAAGAATGTTACTACAAGTTGCAACTAATTTCGAACCATCAGCACTTGTTCATCACAAACAACGAATTGAACAAATGAAAAAAGTTATTGGTAAAAAAGGCAACTGTTCGTCGAATTTAAAATCTATGAAAACAAAACCACGGAAAAAATGGTCTATGTTGGTAAGCTGGACCAATGCACCTCCGACGATGTTCTCAGTCATTTAAAATCTCTAAATGTAAAATGCAATTTCATGCATTCCACTAGCTAAATCTGTCTTTAATAAAAAATAAGGTAATAAGGATAAAACTCAAGATACTGACGCCAATACAAGTGCAGCTTTTCGAATATTGTTCTCTGAATCAAACTTTGACATTGTGATGAATGAAGAAAATTGGCCGAATAATGTCATCCTCCATGAATGGTGCTTTTTCAATTCACAAAAGTCTCAACCTGCTGCCAACCATGTCTCTCAATCGAATAACAATATGAATGGCTAATTCAAATTCATCTTCATCGTTTAACTATAATAATGTTAATCGTGATAAAAATATAAATATAAATTCTATCGATCCAGATTTAATTTTTTTCAATGATTTTGTCAACAATTCTCCTCTCATACTCCCAAAAGAGGTAGATGAGTTCATCAACCTTTCCAACGTCTTTTCAATTCTACACTTGAACAGTAGAAGTTTATACAACAAAATGTCAGAACTTGCTGCTCTTATCAATGTTTGTAATAATAATTTTTTGGTAATATGTGTTTCAAAAACTTGGCTTAGTGAGTCAAATGTTAATTTAATTAATTAGTTTAATTGGCTTTAATTTTGTATCAAAAAATCGTAACCAT